TCTGCGGCTGCGACTACGACGACTACCCTCTAAATATTCTCTTACATGGAATCTGCGTCAGTATAAGTAAATATTTTGTCCGTGTGACTTAAATATTATTAAGCCCTTCATTTCTGGACAGCCTCAAATGTGCCGAAAAGAATGAAGAAGCGTAATTTTATTTATTTAGACATAGTTTGTAATATATGAGAATTTTAAATATTATTGTGCCCTACATTTATGAACAGCCTTAAATGTGCCGAACTAAATGAAGAAGCATAATTTGTGATTAGAATTAACTAGTTTTAGTAGTAGTACTTTATGCCTGTGTACCCGCCAGCCTTAAAGGACTATGCNACTGTGATCTAGATCTAGTAGTCCGGGTGGAGTTCATCATAAAATATATAGTCCGTAAGATAGGAAACTACATCTTGGAAATATTCTCTGCGTGTGTACCCGCCAGCCATAAAGGACTATGCCAATTACCTTTCGGTAACGTGTAGGCAGTTGACGTAAAGGATAGTAAAAGTTGTATTGAAATAATATTTAAAATATATTAGCGAAGTAACTGTGTCCGCGCCAGCCAAGGCTTTACGCTGAGAAACGATGGGCCACCACAGTCCTGTTAATTATATTTTGAATATAGATAGACATATTCTTATAATTATATTTTGACTAGTTCAGAGTAAATTTTAAGAATATCGATATCGACTGTAGGGAATTCATCGNTAAGAATATCGATATCGACTGTAGGGCATTAATCGAAAATATTATTAGTAAAAACGTAGTATAATATAAAAGGAATTTAAAGAAAATAAAAAAAAAGGTGACAAATTATAATAGACGCAGGTCCCATTATAGAGAACCCCTTTTTCTAAGTCTAATATACACAGAGACACTAATTAATCGAAATAGACGCAAGACAGTATAAACGACTGTTGACACTGAAGGAAGAAATCACCATAAAACCAACTCAGTCAATTACTAAAGGAAATAAAGGTAAGTGCGAATATTTATTTGCATGCNGAAATAAAGGTAAGTGCGAATATTTATTTACATGCCTTACTTCTAAAAAAATCGTGTAATAAACAAGAATTGGAATAAATGCGGTAGGGATATTTATTATTTAATAAATAAATATAGTTCGACCCCGAGATACGACTTCATCTACTTCATCGATACCTCCCTCATTCTTTTCCCCCCACTTTCTATCCCTCATTTTTTTTATTTTTTGTTTATTACAAACATATTCACTTATTACTAAAAGATCTTCGATCAATTTAAATAAAACCGTAAAAGACGAAAAAATAGATATGCGTTTATTATGTGTATGCGAGCGGTGCGCTTTACAAAGGTAGACTAACTTTAAAACCGGGCAACTATGTAGCCGCCGAACAACGGTAAGATAAGACAAAAATAACTACACTTATTGTGTAGGCCTAAACAATCACTATTGAGTGATTTAGCTGATAACATTCAATCTTTACTAGTTTCAAATTTATTTATGTACAGGGTGATTTTTTTATCATAACCCACTCAATTACTTGCAGAATAATAATAATTTAAACATTTTTTTTTTTTATTATCTTTAGTTACACAGTATTCTTGAATTTCTAACTATGTAATACTTTTTAAGTTCATCACTTATGCCTTGGAGGGGGGTCAACTTTGATTTTTTAAATGGTAACACATATTTTTAATTTAATAAAATGTTTGAGTATTTAATTTAATAGTAAATGGCATTTGAATTTTTAATATAACTTTATTAGCTTATTAGATATAAACATTTAAAGTTTCAAAATTTTGAGTTAATATACATGTATAATACACATGGGATTGTAAATACAGGTAGCTAATTGGATTTTTATGACATTGCTGTCTCAGTCACGGATTGTTTATTATCAATTATGATTATCAATTATGATTATCAATAGATATACTTTCTGTATTGTCAGTTAGTGTATTTATAAACTCATAACAATGTGCTTTACTATCATTGATAATAACAATGCTGTGTACCTGCTAATATCGATGTCATAAAAAATCAATTAGCTACCTGTATTTGTAATTCCTTGTGTATTATACCTATATATTAACTCGAAAATTTGAACCTTTAAATGATTATATCTAATAAACGAATTAAGTTATATTAAAAATTCAAATGCCATTTACTATTAAATTAAAAACTCAAATATTTTATTAAATTCAAAATATGTGTTACCATTAAAATAAACAAAGTTGACCCCCTTCCAAGGCATAAGGGATGAACTAAAAAGTATTACATAGTTAAAAATTCAAAAATAATATGTAACTAAAGATAATGAAAAAAAAAAATGTTTAAATTATTATTATTCTGCAAGTAATTGAGTGGGTTATGATAAAAAAANATTAATTGAGTGGGTTATATTAAAAAAATCACTCTGTATACAAATTTGAAAAAATTGATTTCAGACAAATATTTAAAAATTTAAGTACAATAAATAAAGGTATTAATCATTATAAAACTTTTGTTTAAATAAGTAGACATTTTATTTTTAAATATACAAATAAAGGGCCTGCTGTTTAATGACTTAAATATGAAAATTTAAGCAGCTTTTTACTACATTTTTCTAGTGTACATCATATAATTCTAGTAAAAAAAATTTTAAAATGATGATTGCAACTACATGGTGCCTTTATTTTGCGTTGAACATTTTCTATTATACTCAGAAAGTTTCATGTGAAATTACAATGCAAGATATTCTTCAGAATTTTGTTTACTCTCTGGCTAGTCATCAACTTCGTGGAGTCAGTATTCCATTTAAAGATCGGGGTTTTGTATCTTTTGATATCTTACAATACCAAATAGGTTATACCGTAGACTACTATGATAATGTATACCAAACAACAGATGCACTTTTAATCCTTGAAATATTTCAAGATTATTTGCCAGATGTTATTTACTGTAAGTATGCGGAAAGAATAACCGTTATTACTCATTATATTTTTTACGTAATGGAAGAATGTCAATTATTTATAAATCAAGATAGAATACGAACTCTTAACGTATTTATTCAAAAATTAGTAGAAATGGTGAATTCAATACAAAATGGAATTCATTATGTTAGTCAACTTGGTACTAGAGAATATAGCTTTCCAAATATTCCATATTTATTTCTAATCAATCCACTTAATTCAGGTCCCATAGAACAGGTTGGCATACCGTCTTACATTAATAATGTATTACAAATANCAGGTTGGCATACCGTCTTACATTAATAATGTATTACAAATATTAAACACAAATGCAAATTTTTATATGACACAATTTTGCCAATATCATAACAAAAATACTATCCCAAGAAAAACTTATATCGAACGATTGTTTGCAGAGCATTTGAAAAATTTTGCACATGCCACTAAGTACGACTTTTTAGAGGGAAAAACTCAAGCGTACTTTATTGAAACAAACAATTTTTTGGATTCTTTGAATACATTATATCGAAACGTTTTTGGTAATAATAATAATAATAATAATAATGATAATAATAATAATAATAATAATAATGATAATAATAATAATAATAATAATAAT